TGTTAATGACGAAAGTGAATGATATCGTACACAATATGAGTTGAAGCACATCCCCCCCCCCCCCCCCCCCCCCCCCCTCCCCGTCTACGTTGTCAAAATACCGTGGCTCAGCTACGGATGACCCAGGAGGTTTAAAACAGTTTAAAACTATCCAATATTAGCGTGCCACAGATCAACCAGGATCAACACAGAATACCCTGGGCTTCAATGTGGACTTGCTACAGATACCCAGGGTTGTTCCTAAATAATCTATACATCTTGTCCTATATATGGACTTATCAACCGAAAGTAGTTAGTGTATTAATATACCTCACAATTCCTATCTTTACCTGAATATTACTATCCCCAATCCTTCCCAAATTTGTCAATATAAATTCCTAATATTTTAAAAAGCAATATATTATGATATATATATTGCAATACCTTCTGAAATATTGCAATATAGACTGTATCCTAATTTTGTTTTGAGTGGCATTACGTTGTATATTGAATTTTTATGTACATTGTAATTTTGCATTTGCCTTTTACACTCCTCTGTCTTTCGTACTAGTTATTCATCATAATTGTCAAATCAATGAAAATGCTTCAGTTAAAGTGTATTAATTTCATCATTTTTTGAATATTATGATCATATTTATTGCAGATCACATTTTATCTTTATGTTGATAATTTTTACCCATCAATCACAATGGACAAATCTAGAAATCGAAGAGAACATACATCTGACCTTGAACCGTGATGTCACTGACCGTAAAACTCTGATCATGATTGCCAACACATTTGTTTTTCACATAAATATCTGTGGTCAACAGACAATAATAACCTGCTCTCAGTGGAAACATACCTGCTACAACAAAGGAGTTGTTAATGTCGGTTGATATTTATAAATGAGGCATATATGGCAAATCAAATGATACAAATCCCTTAATATGCAAAAGTTTGTACAAAAGTTGATCCATCTACACTGTATGTACAATAGTAACACATAGACACTTCATCATGTAATCATTATAGTTATATATGTTTAGAGTATATAAATGCATATTTTGGGATTCTAAAACATTAACCAACTTGACTTATTATTATGATGTTCCCAAAGTTAGCAGTGCTCATGTTAAATTCAAGCATGTATATAATCCTATGGGTATTGTAATGTAATGAATTGTTATGTAATGTAATGTTTAGTCTCTTGTCTTAATGTAATTGTTCATATGAAAATCAATAAAAAAAATGAAATGTAAAAAAAAAAATTGACTTATTATTCTTATAAATACAAGACCAATTCAAACTTTTATCAAAATCAGTTTAGAGATAAGGTCAGTTGCAAGATGACAAAGATTTTCTATAACTAGTAATTATGGTAACCTTGACCCTGACCTATAGCTAGTTGGCACCCTGAAACAATTTGAGGTATACATGTATCTTCATATTTGGTTATTTATTATACGAAAATCTCTGCTTACGCTACCGATTGCATTTTCCGCAATTTTCGAAATCTAATGAACACTGTTAGTTAAAACAATAAGTAAAAATGATAAATTTATCGAAGAATGTTATTTTTGAGTTTGCTGAAGCCAATTATTAATTGCTAAAGAAAAATATGGGGTTTCAGCAACTTCTGCTGGAGGAAATTTTTATCTGAGTTTGCGGAGGAAATTTTATCCAAATTTGTTCATAAATGAAGTCTATAGAGCACTGACAAAGATTTTCTGTAAATATTAATAATTAATGAAGTCGCTACATCTAGAGCTCAAACAATGACAACATTTTTTTTATAAATTGCAAGGGTGACCTTATTTGCTTTGACCTTGACATTCTGAAGCATGAACTTGTTCCAAGTGTTTGTTCTCATAATACTTGGCCAATATATATGAAGTTATGTCAAAATGCTATCTTCAGAAATTAATTTGCTACAGCGATGACAAAGGGTACCCGCTCACTATTAACGTTACAAATATGAACACACAAAACTCCTGTAGGTCAGGGATTGCAAACAGAACAAGACCAACATGCTCATTTATAAGGACCAAACCATTGCACCACTATATATGTGTTTTTGAATGACCCCTTTGACAACAAATGCTGTTGATTCTGTAATTTCATCAATGATTTTGATTAGGAAAGGGTTGTACTTTTAAAATGTCTGTATTTGTGTTTTAAGTTGCATTGCAACTTGATCTTGTTACCTCAAAGACAGGTTCTGGACATGTATAATTATATTTCTTTCATACAATGACCTTGACCAATAATTGACAAAATACACCTAAAATGAAAAGGTTTCTTCTTCGCCTCTTTGGCTGCCTACAAACATTTGTATCATTATAATAATAATAATTAGGTCTGAGCTTTCTGAAATCATTTGTTCTGAAATAAGGATCAAGTCAATACACTTTTATTTTCAGTTATTGTTTTTTTATCTACATGTGCATTGACCTTGATTTTAGACGAAAGCCTCCGATATATGGTTCTTCAAATTCCTTGTCCCTATCTAGAGCCACCAACATTACAGATTTGTTTAATGGGGGAGATTTTATTTCCAGTAGATGTTCAAATTTCTTAGCAGCAGACATTTAATACAAGATGACTCTTGTGAGGTAATGGAGGAGACCTTTATGTATACCTCCATTACTAGAAATTAAATTGATCAATGAGTCAATGACAATGTTAATACTGTCTGGGTGCACATGAACTGGCTATCATGTTTATCAGGTGGTTTGAAATTGTTTGGAAATTTGATCGTGTATGTAACACATCATTATACGATTGATATTTTTTTGTAGGAAATAATTGAGACAATTGTTAAGATATTCTATGTATGTCACAACCCATGGCCGGTATCTTAATTATTATAGAACATTATATTTTAAAAAATAATACAATACAAAATTGGAAATAATCATCAGAGATCACGCTTACGCCGTCCCTAGATGTTTTTGACGCATTGAAATCATCTGGGACGCAATTTTGTCAACTGCATCATGTCACGGGATGCAGAAATTTTATTGTCTGCATGCCTTAAAATCAGTCTGATATCAGTCCTTTTCGCGTCATTCTCGTCAGCGACACCAGTCCAGCAGTAAGAAACCAATATATAGGAATTCCCCCTTACAGATCAATGTTATACAACAATGTAATGCAAGTTTCTAACGCTGTTGTTGATTGGTCAGTTTATTACGATGTCAGAATCTCTTCTGCGTTTGTAAATCAGGGACATGTAGACGCTTATTACAATATATGTGGGTCACACGTGCACATGTACAGAGGAAAATAACAACATCAGGCATTTCTTGATCTGAATGGGTTCTTTTTAGTTTGTTTGTTCAATATAAAATATACAATACCTGAACAAAACAATTGAAGGTAACTTCATCATTTACAAATAATCAATTAAAGGCTTAAATAACCGTGAAACGATCCAAAAGGATGGCCTTAGATAGTAATGCAAAGATGCTAACTCCTCCGATTTTAGCGTAGTTAATCCAATTTTAAGATAGAAAAATCTGCTCTATTTGATTTTTATTGAACTTTCTCCAATTTTTCTGGGTTTTTTCCAGTTTACATTACTGAAATATCTCCATGAATGCAAGACAATTTAGAACGGCTGATTATGAGTTCTAAGTGAAACTGGTATTCATAATTTAAAATATATTCTTATATTAGGGGGAAACAACCTTGTGCAAACTGGATTTAGGGCAAAATGACCTGTGTTACTAACAGAACATAGGGCGAAACAGCCGAAAAGCTATGATGATTAAGGGTAAGTTGTTGACTGCCAATGTGCAGATCTCTAATTAAGTGTTTGTATAAATAAATACAATTAAGTTATGATACAATTATGATAAAACAAGCATTTCTTTTTCTTGTGTAAATCACTCTTGTTGGCAGGGATGATAACGTTCTTAATGTAGGAGGAAACCAATTTGGAGGGAGGCAAGTGTGCTATCTGACCACACTTTGTATGTAATTAATATAAGAACTACATGTTGCATTGACAGTATATAATATGGTGACTTGTACATCTCATATGATCTGAGTTCTTTGTATTTGAGAATAATGTGTTGGCCAGAATAGAGAGGATCAAGTTTGTCTTAAGATAAGGCCTCTTAGTGTATAAAGTCGCTGTGATTTAAAGTAATAACGTTCACTGAGACTCTGTCCTGTTTCCCAGTGACATCCCAGTTTGTTTGCACAAACTCAAGTATATTGCAATGTCGAAGTTAAGTATCTGTAAAACATTATTTCTAGTTCTACCGGTTTCTTGCCTACTTCAGCAAAATAAAGATTATGCAAGTTATGATAGGAATTGCATGGCTTGGGGGTAAAATATAAGTTATATGTACACGAGTTGATTGCCGGGTTAAAGGGAGATAGTGTAGCACTAGTGGCCAAGTCAGGAGGGCACTCCATTGGGATATCGTTCACGGAAAGACTAGCTTTCTTTTCTAACAGAGATTTTGCAGGAGAGTATTCTATAGGAACTTAAAGTTCATGGAGAATTTCCTGATAAGCGATTTAATGGGATCAGATCTGTGGAGCGAAAAGCTATTTGTTTATTTACTATTGTATACATCAAAGTGAGACGAGACTCTCAATGCCAGTCTGCCAGGAACTGAAGGCACTATTAGTAATATTGCTATTTGAAGTTACACATGAAAATTAATGTAAATGTACACCATTTCAATTGTAAAATACACTTTTTTCTTCAAACTGATTTCAAAAATGTGTCTGAGGAGGAAGTTTAAAAGTCCCATATCACATACAGTGCATGTATCCCTAATATATTTCCCACCTGAGAATCGGATGGGCATTACTATATTTCAGCCATAAAAAGAACAATGATTACTCCCTGACACTCATAACATCTATATCTTTGTATACCACCCCATCCCAAGAAGACCTTGTCCCCCATCCCGCTCTCCATCATATCCCCCTCTCGATGTCCCATGCCCCCAGCATCAGCTGCTGAGTCTAGCGACACGCGCTTCACTTATTCTTTGTACCTGTGCCTTCCGGTCGGCTCCCTTGTGCCTTGATCCATAACAGCTGTCTGGTTTCTAATTTAACTCTGAGAGTCCGTCTTTCTGGTTTCCTCCTGGAAAAGAATATGGTCACAACCAGTCCTCGTTCTAGATTCCGAAGTGTATCTACAATTTCACTATTCGGACCATTCGCAACCGCCATGTTGAGCTATTTTCTCATGGAACCACAGTCTAGGTGTAAACTCCGTTTACATTGTGGCGATTTGAGTTTAAATGTCCGACTGACACCTAAGTGAGTGACAAAGATAGGAAACACTTTAAACCATGTTCAATAACTCGTAGTCAACCATCCCAAACACATTTTCACTTTGTTTTCTTCCGGGAATGACTCCAAATGGTATCAGGTGCGTGAAGGGAGATCACTACAAGCACCTGTTGCTCAAGGGAGGTAACTCGTCTCTCGCAGCCACAGAATATCGTAGAATACACAGCGATTAAATCCCCCAAATAACAAAAACCGAAATTTATCACACAAATCACTTTTAAAGAAAAATTGATTGATACTTTTATATTTTCCTAACATAAGGCGGTGGTGCACAACTTGGTTTTGTTTTATTATGTTTTATTATGTTTTATTATAAAAAAAAACCACCATGTAAAGTAACTTGAGATGTGTATTTGATGATTGTAACTTGAATCAGCCAGGCTTCATCCTTGATAAAGTTACAATGCAAATAATATACTAATTAGATATTAATACGGCATTCCACCGTTTATTAAATATATTATGTAAAAACTTGAGATGATGATCAACGATTATGGAGCTTATAATAGGCTATTATTGATTTTAATTGTCTAAGCACACGGCTGGACCAGATGTCAGAGAATATGATCATAGTCCGAGTCTCAATGCTGCTGTGCATGGCCTACTGTATAGTTGCGTAACCATTTTCTATGTCAAAGTGAAACGATTGGTCTGAACCAGGGATTTTGAAGTATGATTATTATGGTCTATATTCCCCCCTTATATCAGCCATCACTTTAATTTAACCATGGGCTTAGACCAGAAACATATGAATACATATAAAGATAATTTTACGTCTCTGCTTAGACCGTGGGATGTGTTCCTGAGCCGTCAGTTGAAATTCATATTAGATTAGTAATTAAAATATATACGTCTCTGGTCTGTGGGTGTTGCTTATTTATGCCGCTATATACAATGTACTGCTTACACTAACATAGACCATAGGGATTGGAGAATTTGTTACTGTGTAGTTGGACCTAAATTAAAAGTAAAACGTTTCTATGTTTAATATGACAGTAATGTCACACTACGATTTCATTCAGTTAAGCAGGATTTTTGATTTTACATGTTAGCGCATACATGTAACATTGACAAAATATATTTGGTGTCAAGATTTCAATGTTCCATACATATTCAATATCAAGAAAATGACCATTAAGTTTTGTCTGTACCAGAGAAATCTAATTGATAGTCCTCTGTGTTCTTGCATGCAAGCAAATGAAACCAATGAACATTATCTATTACATTGTTGTCTTTTTTCTCAACTACGTTTACATACATTTAACGAAACCAACCATCCAATCTCAACTGATTTACTCACATTTCAAATATCCATCGAAATACGTTTAAAAGTAAGTTACTGTTTTAAGTGTTTATACTTCTTTCCATAGAATTCATTAACTATGCCATCATGCCTTAATTTAATGAGATACATTCTCGGAAACAGATTTATATAAGTTATTTCAACTTGTTTCTGGATCCCATTCCTCTGTACTTTGTATGTTATGTGGTGTTATGCTACTTAATGTGGAGTGAAATACAGTTTATATTAAGAAAATGGCCTTGATGCAGTCAAATTTTAGTGAAATTGGTAGTTCATTTTCTGTTTCAGTGTCTTGCTGTCCTTATAATTTCGCGAAGTAACTTTCATCATAAATTGTATCTGTTAATTTGCTGTACATGTAGTGTACATAACATTGACAACATGGAATTGCTTCCCCGGCGTCAGTCTTTTGTGTCAATGTTATGCACATCCCATGACACATTATATCCAGTTTCCTTTATTCGTCAAGACAAATAAACTATACTACAAAAGTTTCCATCTTTAATGTAGAATAGTTGTTATATTGCTATCTTACTTATTTAGGCATAATTTTCAATCTACCACGTAGAAGCATGCAGGTAACATTGACAAGATTTAATTTTTGTGTCGAGGTTTCATGTTACATACATTTTGGGTATTGAGAAACTGGTCTTTACTGCAAGAGTATGAGTTAGTTTTCCACTTACTACTGCAATAGTAGGAGTTGTTTTCCACTTACATTGTCTGATTGTTTTAATTTAACAGCCCAACTTTAACTTCAAACATAAATCTTTTCAATGAGGTGTTTATGTGGTATACTTAACATTGAAAACATCTATTTTTTTCATTTTGTATCAGTATTTTGCGTTAGTGTTACTTATATTTCTCTTGACATATTTGAATCAGTCATCCTACATATCAAGAAAATGGAACTAATGGACTGAAATGTTGTGTTTAATGTAGAATAATTGTTATTTTACTATATTTTCAATTTATGATATAGAATCGAAGTATGCATGTAACATTGACAACATTTGTTTAGTGTTAAGATTTAATGTTATATCATACATGTTAAACATTATAATGTTACATATGTTATATTTATATAGGGAACTGTATATTGGTGAGGGTGAAATATAATCAAAACATTTATAGCCAGACAATGTTGTGCCATAGCACAGTGATAAAATGTGTAGTCACAGATGGACAAATCAAATTAAAAAAGTATCTTGCAGGAAGATGATTCTTCTGAAGACGGTCTTTCTTGAACACTATGTAAGTATTTTGTATAACATGTGACCTGATCTATAGTGACCAGACAGAGATTAATCGTAACCATGAGCAGGCTGTATGTGCTATGTAATGGTCATTCATGCGTTCATAACTCTGCACCATTTCCACCAAAGGGGGAGTGGGGGCATATCTATGTTTCACAAACATGTTCTAGTTTTACCAAGTAATACAAATGTATCATCCAAGCCCTATCGGACACATATATGATGCTGAAGTCCATCACTCTTCCATATCATTCAGTCTCATCCCCATGATATTGATTTTGCTAATCTTCATCACATTCAAGTCTTGTTTAGTTCCCTTCATTAGTTCTTGAAACTTTATCTCATCTTTGATCAAAATCTGATACATTTTTTTTCTAGGTCTTACAGATATCATTTTTATATTCAACCTGACATTTGTGTACAGAATATTTTAAATACAGGATCATTTTGTGATTATGGATGGAACAATGGAGTATACCACACATTAACTTAGCTTTATTTGTTTTTCAGGTTCATGAAATCTGAGGAAGAAGCATAAAAGAATCGTCCAATTAGATGAAGAAAATGCAGGGCTTGAGCAACTATCTGATGGGAAAGCAAGGTATGCAGCAAAACTGCAAAAACTTGCCCAAACAGGAAACGCGGAACATCACAGGGCATAAGAGTCCCTAAGACATACAATTTACATGGCCTCCTTATCATAAGATAAGAAAATTAAATCAAACGCTGCAACAAGAGAGCGGATGAGAATATATCGAGAAAGACGTAAAGAAAAACAGAAAACTAAACAATCTTCCAATTCAAAAGTCTTAATACGCAAGGAGAAAAACTTGGAGGAAGAATCTCAAAAAAAAAAGAAAAGAGAATCACGTTCAAAGGAATCCTCTGTTAAAAAAAAGAAAATTGAGTTTGCAGAGACGTCAGGCATACAGAGAAAAGAAAGAGAAAATACAAAATGCTAGAAAACAACTATTTAGAGAAAATGATGATTACAAATCAACAGCATCACTTAGAAAAGCTGTCCATAGATGTTACCAGGAATTCCCAAGAACTCCAATGAAATGGCTGAAAGTTGTAGGAGGTATCCTGAAAAGGGCCACTCCGAAGGAAAAGAAGTTGCTTAAATCAAAATGTATGGAAAGGGTACATGTTATGGGTTGGGAGTTGTAGTTAAGCAGGCTACAAAAAGAGCAGTAAAAGATAAGTAATAGTCCACACAGCCAGAGAAATGTGTGGCTACTGTGTCAAAAATCTTACTCTGGATAAAAGCCACGTTGACAAGGACAAATGTTGTCATCCATTGCGAACATTCTTTCTGGTGTCTGACATCAAAAGGAATAGGCTGAAATGCCCACTGCATACTTTGTCAGGTACTAGAAAGATACATTGTGTAAGAGGAGTCCATTCTGGTGTTATTGAAGTGAAAAACCTGCCTTGCTTTTGCAGTGTTTGTGAAGGAGAAAATAACGCTACTTCTTGATGCGAAAATGAAATGGCCTCCATTGTAGAACCTTTTAGACAATATGATTTGGTTATCAAGAGGTTACCTACATGCCAGATGTTAGTCCGACTTATTCACAGAAATTAGATGTCAGCAGTGATGTAAAACTGTTCGAGGTGGAAGAAATGGAGAAGAACAATCCCGATGTGACAACAAGAAATGTAAATAAAAAAAGAGTAGACCTACTAAGAAAGTCCAGTAGCCTAAAGTAAAAACCGACCAAGTGCAAAACGATGCAGTTACAAAGAAACGGATACGAAGCAGTGCCCGAATTTCAGCTGGTACAAGAAAGGAAATACAAAATGTCAACCCGAAGACAAGAACAAGTAAAGGAATGCAGAACCGTGTCGATAATGAGGTGCATGTTACAGGACATACTAACAGAGCTGATTTTTCACAAGCAGATGCAAAGAGCAATGTGGAAGGTTATGGCAAAGTAGTCTTACCAGCACCTGTACATTCGATAAAAAGAGTAAAGTATTTCATGGAAATATTGAAAAGACTTCAAAGTTGTAAAGACTTTGAAGAGCTAGTTGCTTTGTCTGTTCAGTGCAAGCAAAGTGTTGCTCATTATGAGATCAAAGGGAAACCCACAGATTTATACATAATGCAAGGCTACAAAGTAGACGAAAGCTCAGTTGAATGAGCTCCTAGTGATGTGAGTGGTGCTATCAAGTTTCGTGTAACAGTTAAAGGTGATAGAAATTGTCTTCCTCGCTGTGGGAGCTTAGTTGCCTTTGGAAATGAAGAACAACACCATGAAATAAGAGCCAGAATAGTGATGGAACTGGCCCTCAATGAGACGATGTACCTGGATGATAACTATCTTAGACAAGGAACGAATTTGAAAGAGCATCTCCCGGAATTATGTGCCATGTACAGTGATCTGTACCTACCAGGTGTTCATCTGACAGACAACATTGTAAGGACACTTTACAAGCCAGAAGTGTTTAAGTGTGTGAATCTGGCAGCGGCAAATACATGCATTAGCTAATGTTTTAGAGTGTCCTAAAATGTCATGCTGTATATCCAGACTTTGTAAGACCAAGCTTGCGAAACACTCTTCATAGGATTGTATTGCCGTCAGTTTGTGAGAAACCTATAACCCCAGCACATGTTTTCTGGACAACAATTCGGACTGACATGACAAGCGTTAACTGGACGCCAAATCACTTTGTTCTATTGTTAGAAATTGACAGATCCAGCATGATAGCTATGTTCCAACTCCCCAACCACCACAGGATACAAATGTAGTTCCTCCTCTACCACAACAGACTAATGCAGTTCCTACCCCGCCATAAGAGACAACTGCAGTTCCTACGCCATCACAGGTGACGAGGACAACTCCTGAGTCATCCCAGGAGACGTTGGTGAGTAATAGTTCATACTAATTTGTGCAGTCATAGTTATATTTTTAAATATATAAAGCATTGTTAGAATATAATACAAGACTAAAAATGAGACATCATAAAATACACCATCAGATATGTTGGTATTGATTTTAGTATAATTTGATGTTGTTTCTCTTCAGGCATCATCAATGATGGATGATACCTCTTTTCAGGCATTGGAGGAGTTGGAGGTAACCCCTGAGCCGCAACAGGAGAAAGAGAGACTTGTGAATACCAATTCAGAATATTTAACATTTGCTCTACATTCTCCCATTGCAATACATAGATAATGCAATACGTGTTGTGACATTATATAGCTATAACACCACTTGGTCATGTGAACTGTACTCAGTCAGTCGTGATGTCACTGATCTGATTGTGACAATCTGCCTCCGTGTTCCCAAATCTGCACACAATGATGTTACGAAAGTGAAATATCTAAATAAAATATAACTACCCTGAATGTTTTAACAAATGATGTCATGGTGCTATAAAACAAGCACATTGCTATTGCTGACAAACTAACGTTAACCCCTAACATGCTTGTCAGTCTTGCATAGCATTGTGTGTTACATAGGACCATAACACCATTTGCAAAAACATTCATTGATTGAATAATGACAATTACAAGTGATACATAATTAAAAAAAACAGGCTCTGAAATACTGGTATTAATTTTAGCACAATATGCTTCCTTCCTAGGTATCGAAAGAGATTGAGATATCTTCAAAGGAACCAGAGGAGATGGAGCTAGATCTCCAGCTAGCACAAGGGAGAAATACAGCTACATTGTCACCTCAGCAGACAGAGTCAACTGCTGAATCTGAACCATCACAGGAAGTAAAGATAGTACCTGAGCAACTTCAGGAAAGAGATACAGTTTCAGAGTCACCACAGGAAAGAGAGACAGCTCCAGCGCTACTACAGGAAAGGGAAACAGCTCCAGAGCCACTACGGGAAAGACAGACAACTCCAGAGCCACCACAGGAAAGAGAAACAGCTCAAGAACTACACAACAAAGAGACAGGAGAGAAAGTCAGCTGAAGGGCTACTACAGTAGAGAGACAGATCCAGAGCTACTACAGGAAAGAGAGACAGCTCCAGAGCCACCACAGAGAATAGAGACAGCTCCAGAAGCACTACAGGAAATAGAGACAGCCCCAGAGACATCACAGGGAAGATAGACAGCTCCACAGCCACAATAGGAAAGAGAGACAGCTCCAGGGCCATCACAGGAAAAAGAGACAGCTCCACGGCCACAACAGGAAATAGAGACAGCCCCAGAGACATCACAGGGAAGATAGACAGCTCCACAGCCACCACAGGAAATAGAGACAGCCCCAGAGACATCACATGGAAGATAGACAGCTCCACAGCCACCACAGGAAAGAGAGACAGCTCCAGGGCCATCACAGGAAAGAGAGACAGCTCCAGGGTCACCACAGGAAATAGAGACAGCTCCAGGGCCACCACAGGAAAGAAGGGACAGTTCCACGGCCACCACAGGAAAGAGAGACAGCTCCAGGGCCATCACAGGAAAGAGAGACAGCTCCACGGCCACCACAGGAAAGAGAGACAGCTCCACGGCCACCACAGGAAAGAAGGGTAGCTCCAGAGCCATCGCAGATGGAGGAGACACTAGTGAGTAATAGTTCAAAATAATGTGGCAATTTAAAGTGAGACATCATATGAAATGGCATCGAAAGTACTTGTAATAATGAATTTAACACAGTATGGTTTCTCCCTAGGCATCAACTGAAAGGGGAGATCGAGCTAGATCTGCAGCCAGCACTGGAGATTGAGGCAGAACTCGAGAAGGACATACTATGTCGAGATACTTGCTGTCGTTCGTTAGTGAATAGGAATTTGTGCATTAACAGGGAAGTCTTTATATTGATTTAGTTGTATGAACTATGCTAGAGGTGACAGTAAGGTTAAAAACATGTTTACAAATCCTGTAATGATTTCCTGGTTAGGTTCAGAGAAGGCCAACTTGTTAAACTGGCTATCCCGATGGGAGTTATTTTTAAAGACTTTGAGGTCAATGAGGTGTAGTTGATTTCGTTGGTTAAATGTTTTCACATTATATTTCTAACATGTTTTGTGTGTAGGTCTGTTTCAGTTTTAAACACATGGAGCACGGATTTTCTTAGCCTTTTTTACAATAATTTTAATGTTTACACATTTACACTTCCCATAGTACTGCCTGTTTTTATTGGAAATCCATCTCTTTCCCAAATGTAGAAACTAGAACAGACCCAAGTTACTTTAATGCCCTTTAGTGCGAGTATTTTTGTGAATATAACACACGGCTGCAAACAGTTCACTTCCTGAATAATGTAAAATGGAATTACACCAAGAATTATCATTCAACTGCAAGCATTACTCATCCATTGTTAAATCACAACTATGAAAATGTATTGCTGCAGAATATGGTGCGACCTTTAGGTCTTTGAAAATATCAAAAGCAGCGTAAGATAATCAATTTGTTCGAGATGTGTCAAAAGTGAAGCTTTAATCAACACTCATGTACTCATGTACAATCCGATATTTTCTCTGAAATTTAATTTTTGCTATTTAATTTTTCAATGCTGATTTTTAACCTTAGTCCCATTAGTTCATATTATCTGGATGTCTTTAATTGCTGCTGATTGTTTTTGTAGACACAGTTTTAAAGTGCATACATTATTCATTTTCAGATTGTACAGATGGATGGAGACGAGGTCCTACTCAAGTATATGTGTTCAAAGAAAAATATGTTTATTGGCCAAAGAGGATAGAGGAAAGTTGGGAGCATGTGAGCTCCATCAAAATGGTGATGCCTGTACCACAATGTTCGTTCGAAGGAAATCAGTATTATTTTGAATAAAAGCTGTCATTGTCACAACATTCACATTGTCTTTTTTACTATTTCGTGAAGTGTCAGGATTCTCAAAGAGAAAAGTCCATAACAAAACAACAACATTCTCAACTATTCTGTGTGGGTGGTGGGGCTAAGTCCACACTGTCTGACTAATGTCTCTGCTTCTGTCGCACTTTAGTTGTCATTGTTTCATCAATTTTGATGAAGTGTTGAGAAGCAGGTCAGTAACATGTTCCTCTGCTTTAATGCTAACCCTAAGACACACTTCAAATCTTGTAAAAATCAATTGTCAAAGTCAATTAATTTAACTTGTTGGTGTTGTTTTTTTTTACATTTTTACCAATTACACTGAAAAAGACGAAAAGGAAAGAATGTATGGGCTTTTAGCTGATGCCATTTGCCCACTTCCTTAAGCGTTACAGTAAAATATTTATGCAATGAAATGAAAATGTGAGGTGTGTTTCGTCCTATTGGAGTTACGGGCCCATACAGTGCAATCACTATCAAATTGAACCAACATGTCAATTTTAACTAAACCCGAAACAATAGGTGGTTAGGAAAACTTTTGAATAAACAAAGCGTGCAACTTGTTTCAACAATCGGACAGTAGGCAGTCTGTGAAATTAAAACTTTTCAAATAAAAAGTAGTGAAAATTACTTTAAAGAAATACAATTCCAATATAAAAAGGTGTTTTATTATAAGTCTAATAAGTAACACGTCATTTTTTTTGTGTCAATGTTACATACAACTAAATTGACTAATGAAGAATTACTGTGTGGTAGAAAGGTGAAAATATATTTAGTAGTAAGGAAAATGTGACTCATGCCTCATGTATCATAGTTTTTTTCCTTCCTTGAAAACTGCATTCCATTTAGTGTAAGGAGTGGAGTGTATCAAGTTGTATGTAACATTGACACGAAAAACGTGCAAAGCAATAAGAAACAAACACTGAACAAGTGAAAATGAAAAATGTCTAAATAAAACTTTATACAAGGTTTTGGGTAACTTGGTTCTATAGGCAGATTGAGAAAGCATAATTTAGGTTTGGATATGTTGTTCAAGTTACATGCACCAAATTCATTAAATGTCTGTCTGACAAGATTGGCGTTGATTTTATTTCAATTATTTCTCTTCATTCGGTAAACGCATAACTTCAGCAATGCAAAAATGTTAAATTGAAGTCCTGGGACAATTTTTTATTTGCATTCCTCAATGTCTCTATATTCTGAAATACTGAATTCTTGCCCATTAATATATTAACAATAACTACTGTAGCCAGAATAGACCTCCCTGCATAACACAAGTTTAGTGATATAAATACCCTATCAAACATATTGATGACACAAATAAGATTGATAAAAATTGTGCTTTATTATTTCTTTTATATATTGGTTTCATTTGTTTGTTTCATTTTATTTAACCACGGACTTGTCTAATTCCGTAGTTTTAATTGTGTATGGCGAATATAATTACCATATCTAAATAAAGATGTTTGAAATATGTCAAGTTAGGTTTAGGATGGTCGAATAGCACAGCAGATAACGCACTCGCCTTTCACCAAGTCGGCCGGGGTTCGATTCAGACGTGAAAGGTATTTGGTATTACCTATTTCTCCAGGGTCCTCCACATTTACACGTACAACTTCCAGGCAAAACATGAAGACCTTAAATGCTGAAAAGAAATATAAAAGAGTGGAATATTAGATATGTATGCATTTAAATTGAAATGATTGTATTGCATTTTATTTTTAAAGTGAAAAAAATATCCATGTTGAAATATATCGTTAGTTGTCAATTTTTGACGAGGTTTGACAAACAGAGATATCTTTAAAATTATTCAAATACACGTACACCGTAAGAATACTATTTTTGTTTTTATTAAAATTTCACATTATTTTCTTATGAAACTCTTCATCAAAATTGTTCTTTTGTAGAAGTGTGTCTTACATGCTATGTAAATGTATGTGTATGTCCTATCCCTGCCCCAATCATCAATTCAAATATAACTGTCCAATCGTCAATTCAAATATAATTGTCCAATATAATTGTCCAATCGTCAATTCAAATATAATTGTCCAATATAATTGTCCAATCATCAATTCAAATATAATTGTCCAATCACACTAACAGTTTCCCTAATTCATTTTCATTAATACTTATTTCTTGCTAATATTTTATTATTTTATAAATTTTAACTTTTTAAGTTTAAATAACTAAATTTCAAAAAGGGAAAAAATGAAAATTGTAGAAAAGAAATCCCTTTCGAGATATAATTAAATAACATAAACGAAACATTACCAACGGTAGCTCAAACTCTCTAGGGACTGTCCCTTCCATACGGTACCCCCATGATTGCATTCCTCGGAGACCAAAGAAGAAGAACCACTCTCTGAAGATAGAACCCAGACTAAGTGTGGATGATGATTTTGAAAAGTTATTTTTACATAACCAATAATAGCTTTTATGTGACGTTTCGATGACTAGTACTAATTTGTCTGATGAAGGTGACAGTGTACATACCGTACTAGTCATCGAAACGTCACATAGAAACTCTTATTGGTTGTGTAAAAAGAACTTTTCATAATACACCTGTAGGTCTTTCTAAGTAATGTATCGGTCCAAAAGAGAGCCCAGCTCACTTTCGATATTTTATCGGATATTTTGATTACTACTAACCCATCCCTCAGTTTATACTTTTTATGTCAAAATATGATATGTAAATGTAAATGAGCCAAATTCAGTAATGCACAAATTGCAATTAAGAAGCCAAGATGCAACTTTTGCCCATTTTTCTTCGCTCCAGCATTTGCATTTTTTTTAGATACAGAGCTGAACACGAAAACTTAACCTAAAAACGTTTACGCCGCCGACTGAAAAAGCGACACATTTGCGACATTTTGCTCAGGTGAGAGTAAAATGGAATAACAACCATTATGCATATATACTACCGGGTCAGATTTCACTGTATGCAAAAATTGTCAATTATTTCAATTAGGTCGGATTCCTTTTATATGCAAACACAAATAATAATAATAATACAAAAATATTTACAGTAATCTGCCGCAAACATTATCTCTGCACAAAATCAGACTTTCTTCTTTAGGCAAACAAATGTTTCCAGCATCCCCACCTATCCTTATTTTAAGTGTCAGTTTCCTGTCATTTAATAAAAATGAGATATTAAAGTAAGTATATCTGCTCCATTGATTATGTGCATGAAAAAAGTTTTTTTATGAAAAGAACGTTTTCTCTGAAAAAGGAGAGGAAAATTACCTATTATTAATGTAACTGATATGAGATATTTAAGAGGGTAAGAATAGAAAAATAAAAAAGTATAAAAGACAGATGAGGGGAAATGGGAAAAGAGGGCATAGGACCGATAAGACAAGCGGTACAATCAATGGCTGTGGATACAACCCTAGTTTGAAGTGTAATCAAAAGAGTTTCATTGCCAGTTCTATAACAAATACATGTGCTATTATTATTTGTTAACCAGAAATCATTGTTTCCTTTTTACAGGGCATACCGTGGCATTTCAAACTTCTCAAAGAATTCAAGCTACCCCATTGCACGCTCATAAAAAACCCACAGCTGTCTCCTTTCCTCCTTCGTAATTACAGACACATCACGGATTAAATTAAACCTGAACAAACTATCGTTTCTCATATCATTGAAATATACACTCATGTATTAAGTTAAAGGGTACAAACATGTTCATCTTTATCCTTGACATTGTCATTATTGTG